AGCTTCTCACCGTAGTTTTCGTAATCATGATGGTTCCTTTACACAGTCAATATTCTTCAGCACTACAACCCAAGATGAGATCGCTGAAATTCCGAAAACTTTTCTTCCAGGCAAAGCAGCTTGCTACGACCAGATTCCAATGACAGTTATTTAGGAGTCCATTCTACTTGTTTCTGAACCACTCCCCATATCATAAACTTGTCAATCCCGCATGGTATTGTTCACAATGAAATGAAAATCGCTCGCGTGACACCTATTTTTAAATCTGATGATCAGTCGCTTTTCACCAACTACCGACCTATCTCGGTACTTCCCAGCTTTTCAAAATTCTTTGAAAGAGTTATCTACAATCGTTTAATGCAATATTCGATGAATTTCAACATCTTCTGTAGTAACCAACACGGCTTCAGGAAAAATCATTCCACTGCACTCGCGCTAATCGACTTGCAAGATAAGATCTCTACGGCCTTTGACCGAGGTGAATTTTCTGTTGATATTTTCCTTGACCTCTCAAAAGCCTTTGACACTGTAAATCATGTCATCCTTTTTTATAAACTCGAACATTACGGTATTCGTGGCTTAGCCTGGACCGGATAAGAGGTTACTTTTCAAACAGAAAGCAATATGTTGAATATAATGTCCACCGTTCGTTAAGAAATTAAATCTCTTGTGGGGTCCCTCAGGGTTCTATCCTCGGACCTCTATTTTTCTTACTGTACATTAACGACATCAACAATGCTTCTAATCTATTAAATCTGATATTGTTCGCTGACGATACCAATGTATTCATGTCACATAAACATCTGGACTATCTTTCAGATATGTTAAACTTGGAGATGGACAAACTGTCAATCTGGTTTAAAGCAAACAAGCTTTCTCTGAATCTTAAGAAGACTAAATTTATGGTCTTAAAACAATGACAAAAACGTACAATTTGTAATATTCAATTAATTTTAGATAATCAAAATATTGTTAAAGTAAAGGAGACAAATTTTCTAGGCGTAATTTTGGATGAAAACCTAAATTGGAAGTCGGAAATATCACACGCTGCAAATAAAGTTGCGAAGTCAATCGGTATAATATCTAGATGCAGCTTCTTTCTTCCTAAAACGTCTCCACGTATGCTCTACTTTTCCTTAATTTATCCTTACCTTTACTACTGTAATATAGTTTGGGCTTCGACCTATAAAAGCTATCTCCGCCGCCTTGTTATTCTGCAAAAGCGTATTGTTAGAATTATTAATAATCCACATTTCAATGCTCATGCAGACCCCATCTTTAAGGACCTCGGTATACTAAAATTTACTGATATCCATTTGCTTCAACTGGGCCTATTTATGAATTCTTGCAAAAATTCTTTCTTACCTCCAAGGTTTAATAACAATTTCTCTCAAAGCAATGAATGAATGAATGAATTCCATCAATTCCACTCTCACAATACAAGAAATTCCCAGGCCTACCGTCTACCGTATTGTCATACAAACACTAAGAAGTTCTCGCCAATTGGTATGGTATGGTATGGTATGGTAACTTTATTTATACACGTCATTTCCTTCAGATACATTTACATTCAAGTATAGAAAAACTAACTACCTAACTAATCTAGAATCTAAGATAAAAACTAAAATAATAAAGATGAAAAGAGAACACCTGCTCTTCAAGGAGACCGTGTGTAAAAACAGCAGATCGCTAATTAAATTATTTGTCAATCGAAATTTGTGTCTCTTAATTTTCCCTTAAATAAATTAGAGGATGTCAATTGCCGCATCTCCAGAGGCAAGCTGTTCCATAACACACTTCCGCTGTAAGAAAGGCTTCTTTTATAAAATTCAGTACGGGATTGTGGAACAGCGAGCTTTTATTCATTCTCTCTAAGGTTATAACTAGTTAAATCGCAGCGACGAACAAAACGCGAAGTCAGATATTCTGGGGCTGTGTTATTTACAATGCTATGCATCATTATTGCTTTACTAACTACGCGCTGATGGACTAGTTTCGACCACTTTAAATTTTGAAATAATTCGCTAGTACTGCAGTCATAATTAGAGAAAGTTAGAACGCGGGCGGCTTGATTCTGCAATTTCTGCAATTTAGAAGATAGCTTCTTAGAACAGTTTCCCGATACTACATTACAGTAATGAAAGTGTGGCTGTACCAGTGAATTGTATACGTTAAGCAGAATCTCAAAAGGGAGAAAATACCCAATACGCTTCATCGCACTTATGCCAGAAGCAATTTTCTTAGAGATTTCGTTATTTATATGACACTCCCAAGAAGATTTCCATCGATGTGAACACCAAGGGATTTTGAATTTGACATTTGTTTCATCGGAAACTGGTTAATCTCAATTATGGGATTCCTTTCTAGCGTTGACATTCTGTCTTAGTCGTGTTTAGTGAAAGTTTGTTCGTTGCAAGCCATATACGAATTCTATCTAAATCTATGTTAACACAACGCTGTATTTCTTCAACATCATTGCTCGCATAGGTGATACTAGTGTCGTCAGCATACATTCTAGGTTGTGAATGCATGAGGCAATTCAGAAGGTCATTTATACATAGTAAAAACAAAAGAGGCCCCAAAATCGTTCCCTGCGGGACACCACAGGGTAGGTACGTTTCAGATGACTTGTTACAATTAACGAGGAACGTTTGCATACGATTTCTCAAATAAGAACAGAACCATTGATTAGGGGGATCACGGATATCATGCGCTTGAAGTTTTGGAAGAAGAATAGCATGGTTTACCGTGTCGAAAGGCCTTTTAAGGTCTAAGAAGACAACTGCATTGACAAAGCCGCGGTCGACGTTCAAAGACCAGCTATCTGTGGCTTCGATCATTGCAGTAACTGTGGAGTGAGGTGTTCGAAAACCAGATTGGTAACAACAGAGAAGTTTGTTTCGGTTAGATAACGATATAGCTGCTCATAAACAATCCGCTCGAAAACCTTAGCCACCACAGGAATGATCGAAATCGGCGGGTAATTTGAGGGATCGCTTCTATTGCCACATTTCTTGTAGAGAGGAGTGATCCTAGCGCTCTTCCATTTATCGGGAAAAATACTTGTTTCAATCGATCGATTGAAAATGAGTGCCAGAGAGTCGGAAATTAGATCGAAGCATTCTCTCAGAAATCTGGCTGAAACTGTATCAAATCCAGTGGCTTTCCTCATGCACAATTTACGTTAGCGAGGCGAAACCAGAGATGAACTTATTTGTTGAAAACTATAGCTGCCCGAGATAGATTGAATGACAAATTCATCGAAACAAGTATCAATGTCTTCAATATTCTCGGACAGCTTAGGACCGACTCCGGCAAAGAATTTATTAAAACCTTCCGCAATTTCAGTCGGATCAGTTGATTTCTTGCCCTCAAATTCGAGTTCATTTATAATCGCTTTTTCAGATTTGCAACCCGTCACCTCATTAATGATCTCCCAGGCCTTACGTGAGTTGCCGTCACAAGCTGTAACAGATTTCAAATAATGGGACTTTTTAGCATTCTTAATTGCATTGTTCGCGTTGTTACGTGCTCTCTTAAAATTATTCCAGTCGTTAGAGTCACCTGACCGTATGGCCTTTATTTTATATCGATCTCTTAAATGCATCATTTTCTTAAGCTCCGCAGTTATCCACGGACTTTTGGGACCACGAATGTTGGTAATACATTAGACTTAATGCTATCAATTTCCGACAAGATTTTAGCAATCTCGCTTGAAAATTTGTCACCCACGTTAGTAATTAGAGTCGGTGGTGGTTTGGAAACTATTCAAAAAACAACTAGTTCCACCATCCTTAGCATCGCTGTCGGACTTTTCATCGACCATTAAATTCAACTCTTCTTCTTGCTGATCATCTGCTTCTTGTCCAGGGGTGTCGTGACTCGTGAACTACTTGATTTGAAGTAATGGCGGCGCTTTCATCTATGCCAAGTTGTATAGGTTCTTCGCAAATTTGGCGAAGCGACTTTCTCGTAGATTGTACATGTACCACTTTTTCCTTAACCAGTAAGGTTTTAATCTTTGAGTATAGGTTAAAGTCACGTTTGCAGTTTTCCACACTGTGCATGTTCCATTGCTGGTCTTCGACAAAATGTCGGGTGATGAGAAACCAAGCTTGCGAAGCATGAAAGACTCGAAATTTTGAGGCGAGCCAGACCAAGTGAACTGATTTTTACTGAGATTGAATAACAGCGATTCGGCCAATTCATAACTACTAGTAGTCTCTTCGGTCTCAGATACGTGGTTAACGACGATAAATTTGCCCTCCTTCAACGCCCGCATATTCAACGCTCACCATGTTCATCGCAAATATGTTACGTCGTTTTCTTAAATTCATGTTTGTATTTTTTTGTGTTTGTCTAGAAAGGCTTGTTTTCTAAAGAGAACGTCACCAAATACTTTTCCTTCGTGTATTTTGCACAACGTTAACAAAATTTCAATTTTTTGACCAAAACCATGGAATAACCGCTTTGGAAAAATGCAAATTATGTTGGTTTTTTTAAACCGATAGTTTTCACAGTTCAGAAAGGCTTGTTTGTTATATAAAACGTCGAAACTCGTTTTTTCACGAACATAGAACGTCATGTCTATTTTGCATAGGATCAAAGCTAAAGAAATCTCAAATTTTCCACAAAAACGATTTACTAGCCCCTTTGGAAAAATTCTAATCTTGCGTTTTTTATAAAAAGATGTTCTTTTAGTCTTTAAATGCTTCCTTTCTATCTAGAACGTCAGTAGACACTTTCTCGATCTATTTTTGATAAACACAATGCATAAAACAACTTCAAAGTTTTGACCAAAATTTAAAAAATACATTTTTGGGTTTTTTAAAATCCATGTTTCTATTGTCTAGAAAGGCTTGTTTTCTAACGAGAACGTCACCAAATTCGTGCGTTTTTGAAACCGATGTTTTCATAGTCCAGAAAGGCTTGTTTGCTATATAAAACGTCAAAAATCGATTTTACACGATTTCTTTTACGATCTATTACATGAAGATACACAGGGTTACAAGGGGTTACGGAGGGTTACAGGGGGTTGCAAGGGGTTACAGGGGTTACAAGGGGTTAAAAGGGGTTACAGGGGGTTACAAGAGGTTACAAGGGGTCACAAGAAGACTTGCTTTCTAACTAGATTGTCCACAGATTCTTTTCCCTCGTCTATATGCATAAAAATCAAAGTTGAAGAAATCTCAAATTTTTGACAAAAACTATGGACTAGCCCTTTGGGAAAATTCTAATTTTACGGTTTTCACAATCTTTAAATGCTTCTTTTCTAGCTAGAACGTCAGCAAACACTTTTTCTCGATCTAAAATCTTCAACTTTTTTACTAATATCATGGACTATCTCCTTTGGAAAAATGCCAATTTTTCGTTTTCTTACATCCATGTTTCTATTGTCTGGAAAGGCTTGTTTTCTAATGAAAAGGTCACCAAATACTCCTTCTCGGTGTATTTTGATTGAAACGAAACGTTAAAAAACTTACATATTTTTCACCAAAACCATAGACTAACCCTTTTGGAAAAAGGCGAATTTTATGGGTTTTTAAAAGGGATGTTTTCATAGTACAGAAAGGCTTGTTTGCTATATAAAACGTCAAAAATCGCTTTTTTACGATTGATTTTCACGATCTATTACATGGGGATACGCGGGGTTACAAGGGCACACAGGAGGTTACAAAGAATTAAAGAGGACTTGTTTGCTAACTAGAACTTCCCCCGATACTTTTTCTTGGTCTATTTTGCATAAAAATCAAAGTTGGAGAAATCTCAAGTTTTTGACAAAAAGGATGCACCTTTTATAAACAGATGTTCTTATAGTTTTCAGAGAGTTCTTTCCTATCTAGAACGTCAGGAAACGCTTCTTCTCCTTCTATTTTTGATAAACATAAAAGATTAAAAACCGTCAACTTCTTGACAAAAATCATGGACTCTCCCCTTTGGAAAAATGCCATTTTTGCGTTTTTTAAAATCCATGTTTCTATTATGTAGAAAGGCTTGTTTTCTAACGAGAACGTCGCCAAATACTTTTTCTCGGGGTATTTTGCATAAAAGGAAGTGTTAACAAAAATTTCAAATTTTTGACCAAAACCATGAACTAACCCCTTAAAAAAAAATCAAATTTTGTGGGGTTTTGAAGCCGATGTTTTCATAGTCCAGACAGGCTTGTTTGCTATATAAAACGTCGAAAATCGATTTTTCACGATTTATTTTTACGATACATTACACGGGGATACACAGGACTACAAGGGGTTGCAGAGAGTTACAGGGGTTACAAGGGGTTACCGGGGGTTACAAGGGGTTACAAAAGGTTACAGGGGGTTACAAGAGGTTACAAGGGGTTACAAGTGGTCACACCAAGACTTGTTTTCTAAGTAGAACGTTCACAAATTATTTTTCCTTTTCTATTCTGTATAAAATCAAAGTTGCAGAAATCTCAAGTTCTTGAGAAAAACGATCGACTAACCCTTTTAAGACAAATTGTAATTTTCCGGTTTTCATAAAAACAAGTTCTTTCATTCTTTAAACCCTTCTTTTCTATCCAGAACGACAGCAAACACTTTTTCTCGATCTAATTTTGATAAACGCAATACGTAAAAAAACTTTAAGTCTTTGATCAAAATCATGCACTATCCCCTTTGGAAAAATGGCAATTATGCATTTTTTAAAATCCATGCTCCTATTGTCTAGAAAGGCTTGTGTTGTAACGAGAACGTTACCAAATCCTCTTTCTCGTTGTATTTTGATTAAAACGAAACGTTAACAAAATTTCAAAATTTTGACCAAACTCATGCACCATCCCCTTTGGAAAAATGCCATTTTTGCATTTTTTAAAATCCATGTTTCCATTATCTAGAAAGGCTTGTTTTCTAACGAGAACGTCACCAAATACCTTCACTCGGGGTATTTTTCATAAAACGGAATGTTAACAAAACTGTCAAATTTTTGACCATAACCATGGACTAACCTCTTGAAAAAAATTCAAATTTTGTGGGTTTTTGAAGCCGATGTTTTCACAGTCCAGAAAGGCTTCTTGGTATATAAAAAGACGAAAATCGATTTTTCACGATTTATTTTCACGATATATTACATGGGGATACACAGAGTTACAAGGGGTTACGGAGGGTTATGGGGGGTTACAAGGGGTGACAAGGGGTTACAAGGGGTCACACGGAGACTTGTTTTCTAATTAGAACGTCAACAGATTCTTTTTCCTTGTCTATTTTGCATAAAAATCAAGGTTGAAGAAATGTCAAGTTTTTGACAAAAACGATTTACTTAACCCCTTTGGAAAAATTCTTATTTTGCGGTTTTCATAAAAAGATCTTCTTTCAGTCTTTAAATACTTTTTTTTTCTATCTGAAACGTCAGCAAACACTTTTTTCGATCTATTTTTGATAAACACAATCCATGAAAAGCCTTCAATTGTTTTTTTACCAAAATCATGCACTATTCCCTTTGGAAAAATGCCATTTTTGCGTTTTCTAAAATCAATGTTTCTGTTGTCTAGAAAGGCCTCTTTTCTAACGAGAACGTCACCAAATTCTTTATCTCGGGGTATTTTCATAAAACGAAATGTTAACAAAATTTCCAATTTTTGACCAACACCATGGACTAACCCCTTGAAAAAATTCAACTTTTGTGGGTTTTTGAAATCGATGTCCTCATAGTCCAGAAAGGCTTGTTTACTATATAAAACGACGAAAATCGATTTCTCACGATTTACAGAGGGTTATAGGTGTTACAGAGGGTTATAGGGGTTACAAGTGGTTGCAAGGGGTCATACGAAGGCTTGTTTTTAATTAGAAAGTCCAAAGATTCTTTTTCCTTGTCTATTTTGCATAAACTAACCCGTTTGGAAAAATTCTTATTTTGCGGTTTTCATAAAAAAATGTTTTTTTTAGTCTTTAAACGCTTCTTATTTATCTAGAACGTCAACAAACACGTTTTCTCGATCTATTTTTGATAAACAAAATACATAAAAAAATTAACTTTTGGACCAAAATCATGTACTATCGCCTTTGAAAAAATGCCAATTGGCATTTTCTTTAATCCATGTTTCTATTGTCTAGAAAGGCTTGTTTTCTGACAAGAACGTCACCAAATACTTTTTCTCGGGGTATTTTGCACAAAACGAAAAGTTAAAAAAATTACATATTTTTGACTGAAACCATGGAGTATTCCCTTGGAAAAGTGCGAATTTTGTGGGTTATTAAAAGCGATGTTTTCATAATCCAGAAAGGCTTGTTTGCTATATAAAACGTCGAAAATCGATTTTTTGACGATTGACTTTCACGATCTATTACATGGGGATACAGGGGGTTACAAGAGGTCACAAGGGGTTACAGAGGGTGACAGAGGATTACAGAGGACCTGTTTTCTAACTAGAACGTCCCGAGATACTTTTAAATTACGAGGGGTTACAAGGGTTACAGGGGATTACAGGGCGTTACAAGGGGTTACATGGGGTTACAAAAAGTTACAAGGGGTTACAGGGGGTTACAGAGGGTTACAAGGGCTTACAGGGGGTTACAAAAAGTTACAGGGGGCTTACAGAGGATAAGAGAAGACTTGCTTTTCTAACTAGCACGTCCCCAGATACTTTTTCTTCGTCTATTTTGCACAAAATAAGTCTCAAATTTTTGACAAAAAGGATGCAATAACCCCCTTGGAAAAACTCTAATGTTGCGTTTTTCCTAACCAGATTTTCCTATAGTCTTTAAAGGCTTCTTTTCTATCTAGAATGTCAGCAAACACGTTTTCTCGATCTGTTTGTGAAAAAAAACAATGCATAAAAAAACTCCCAGTTTTTGACCAGAATCTATCACTATCCCCTTTGGAAAAAGGTCAATTTGCGTTTTGAAATTCTTAAATCCACGTTTCTATTGTTTAGAAAGGCTTGTTTTCTAACGAGAACGTCACCAAATACTTTTTCTGGGTGTATTTTTCATAAAACGAAACGTTAACAAAATTTCACATTTTTGACCAAAGCCATGGACTAACCCCTTTGGAATAATGTGAATTTTGTGGGTTTTTAAAAGCGATATTTTCATAGGGATTACAAGAGGTTACAGGAGGTTACAACTGGTTACAAGGGGTTTTCTAACTAGACCTTCCACAGATTCTTTTTTCTTGTTTATATTGCATAAAAATCAAAGTTGAAGAAATCTCACGTTTTTAACAAAAAGGATGCTCTTTGAGCCCTTTGAGAAAAAGTCTAATTTTGCGCTTTTTATAAACAGATGTTCTCATGGTTTTCAGAGGCTTGTTCACTATTTAAAACGTCAGAAAACGCTTTTTCTCCATTTCTGTTTGATAAACTCAAAAGATAATAAAATCGCCACTTTTTGACCAAAATCATGGACTATCCCCGTTGGAAAAATGCCAGTTTTCGTTTTTTTAAAGCCATATTTCTATTGTCTAGAAAGGCTTGTTTTCTAACAAGAACGTCACCAAATACTTTTTCTCGGGGTATTTTGCATAAAACGAAACGTTGAAAAAAATTACATATCTTTGACTGAAACCATGGAGTATTCCCTTGGAAAAGTGCGAATTTTGTGGGTTATTGAAAGCGATTTTTCATAGCCCAGAAAGGCTTGTTTGCTATATAAAACGTGGAAAATGTTTTTTTTACTGTTTATTTTCACGATCTATTCCATGGGGATACAAAGATTACAAGGGGTGACAAGGGTTTACAGGGGATTACAAAAAGTCACAGGGGGTTACAGAGGGTAACAAGGGGTTACAATAAGTTACAGAGGGTTAGAGAGAAGTACAGAAGACTTGCTTTTCTAACTAGCACGTTCCCAGATACTTTTTCTTCGTCTATTATGCACAAAACTTAAAGTTAAAGAAATCACGATCTATCACATTAGGATACAGGGGGTTACCAGGGATTACATGACGGTTACAGGGGGGGTTTACAGAGGACTTATTTTCTAACTAGAACGTCCCGAGATACTTTTCCTTGGTCTATTTAAGAGCGACGGTCAGGAAATATCGACCATTGAGTGGCAAGAGTTGAAAAATCGATTTCCTTCATTTTTTGCCCATAAAGAGCTTTTAGGTGGATAAGTAATCTGACGTAAGTTGTTCTCGCAAAAAGCCTTTTATTTTCGAGAAAAGTAAGAATATCAGTTTTCAGGACTTGTCTCACTCTTCCAAATTTGGGACTTTTGTGGGTATTCTTTAAATACCCTAAAATATCCAAAAATGGGAATCCGTTATTTTTTCCTGTGAATTGACCCAGTTTCACCTTTTTACCCCACTCTTTGATTGAAAAACGGAACTTTGCAATGGGAAAACCTACAAGAAGTACGAAAAACGAGCCTTTACGCTGTAAATATCTACTTTTGTGCGTTTCGAAATTGGAAGTGTTTACACATTTATACCGCCGGCCCATCATGAAAATTCCTGAACTCCGATGGTGTCTTACAGAGATTTCCTTCAATAACCCAAGTAAATTCCCAGGTATGTTTTAAATGAATATCTAAATGTGTGTTTTAAATACCATGAAGAGAGTTTGGAGTTATACCACACGTTAAATATTGCCTTCGAAAATGAGTAACGAACTTAAGTTTTTGTTATCCTGAAAACCTATCCCTCATTTTTCAATTATTTCAGTACGACGAGCTTCGCCATTGCCCTGAAAGTATCTTTTAGCGGAAGAAAAAGAATTTCTCTGTCCAAATTTCTCCATGCGGCTTCGTTTGCGAACGCGAGGAAAGTTAATGTTAGCGAATTTCAGGTCAAAAACTTAGGCAGTGTGAGACTCTGACATCGAAAACCGATCTTCTTATTTTTCTCACATATAAAAGGCTTTTGGCAGGAACAATCTAGTTTAGGTTTCTTATCTACCTAAAAGCTATCTGTGAACAAAAAATGAAAGAAATTGATTTTGGTAGATTTTTCCCGCCCGTCGCTCTTAATTTGCATAAAAATTAAAGTTGAGGAAATCTCAAGTTTTTGACAAAAAGGATGCACTAACCCTTTTGGAAAAACTCTAATTTTGCGTTTTTTATAAAGAGATGTTCTTATAATCTATAAAGGCTTCTTTTCTATCTAGAACGTCAGAAAACACTTTTTCTTGATCTATTTTTGATAAACACAAAAGATTAAACAACTTCAACTTTATCTATTACATGGGGATACACAAGTTTACAAGGGCTTGCAAGGGGTTACTGAAGGTTATAGAGGGTCACAAAAGGGTAAAAGGCGGTTACAAGGGGCTACAAGAAATTACAAGGGGTTACAAACGATTACAGAAGACTTCTTTTCTAACTAGAATTTCCCCGGATACCTTTTCTTGGTCTATTTTGCATAAAAATCAAAGTTGAAGAAATCTCAAGTTTTGACAAAAAGGATGCACTAACCCCTTTGGAAAAAGTCTAATATGGCGCTTTTTATATGCCGATTTTCTTATAGTCTTCAGAGACTTGTTTCCTATCTAGAACGTCAGAAAACGCTTTTTCTCCATCTATTTTTGATAAACACAAAACATTAAAAAACCTCAACTTTTTTAGCAAAATCATGGATTGGAAAAATGCCAATTTGTGTCTTTTTAAATCCATATTTCTACTGTCTATAAAGGTTTCTTCTATCGAGAACGTCACCAAATAGATTTTCTTGGTGTATTTGCATAAAAGAGAAGGTTAGTAAAAATTTCAAATTTTTGACCAAAGCCATTGTCTAACCCCTTGATTTTGACGATCTATTACATGGGGATACAGGGGGTTACAAGGGTTACAGGGGTTTAGAGGGAATTACATGAGGTTACAGGGCGTTAGAAAGGATTACAATGGACTTGTTTTCTATAAACTAGAACGTCCCGAGATACTTTTTCTTGGTCTATTTTGCATAAAAATCAAATCAGGTTGGCTTAACGAACGTTAACAAAAAGTTGAAAATGGCTTAAGAACGTTAACAAAATTTCAAATTTTTTGCGAAAACTATGGACTAACTCCTTTTGAATAATGCGAATTTTGTGGGTTTTTAACAGCGATGTTTTCATAGACCAGAAAGGCTTGTTTGCTATATAAAAGGTGGAAAATCGTTTTTCTACTATTGATTTTCACGATCTATTACATGGGGATACAGGGCATTACAGGGGGTTACAGGGGATTGCAAGGGGTTACAGGGTGTTACAAGGCGTTACAAGGGGTAACAGGATTACAGAAGACTTGTTTTCTAACTAGAACGTCTCCAGATACTTTTTCTTGTTGTATTGTGCATAAACGAATCAAAGTTGAAGAATTCTCAAATTTTTGACAAAAAGGATGCATTAACCCCTTTGGAAAAACTCTAATTTTGCGTTTTTGATGAACAGATGTTCTTATAGTCTTTTAAGGCTTCTTTTCTATCTACAACGTCAGCAAACACTTTTTCTCGATCTATTTTTGATAAACACAATACATAAAAAAAACTTTAAATTTTTGAGCAAAATCATGCACCATCCCCTTTGGAAAAATGCAAATTTTGTGTTTTTTTAAAATCCATGTTTTTTTTTGTCTAGAAAGGCTTGTTTTCTAACGAGAACGTCGCCAAATACGTTTTCTCGGTGTATTTTGCATAAAATGAAACGTTAACAAAATTTCAATTTTTTGACCAAAACCATGGACTAGCCCCTTTGGAAAAATGCAAATTTTGTGGGTTTTTGAAAGCGATGATATCATAGTCCAGACAGGGGTGCTTGTTATATAAAACGGTGAAAATCGTTTTTTTACGATTGATTTTCATGATCTATTACATAGGGATACAGGGGATTACAAGGGGTTACAGGGGCTTACATGGGGATACACTGGGTTACAGGGGGTTACAAACGATTAAAGAGGACTTGTTTTCTAACTAGAACGTCCCCAGATACTTTTTCTTGGTCTATTTTGCATAAAAATTAAAGTTGAAGAAATCTCAAGTATTTGACAAAAAGGATGCACTAACCCCTTTGGAAAAACTCTAATTTTGGGTTTTTCATAAACAGATGCTCTTATAGTTTTTAAAGGCTTCTTTTCTATCTAGAACGTCAGCAAACCCTTTTTCTCGGTCTATTTTGGATAAATACAATACGTGAATAAAGTTCTAGTTTTTTACCAAAACCATGCACTATCCTCTTTGGAAAAGTGCCAATTTTGCGTTTTTTAAAATCCGAGAACAATGATTCAGAGCCGTTTGACAGCATTTTGCAAATTGGTTATCTTTTTGGTGGAAATGACGTTAAGTGAGAATTTCACTTATGGGCTCCAAAATGTCACGCTTATGATAAGCAAAGTAAGACGAGTTGAAAACGAGGATTTAAAGGCGTGTGAAAGAATTTTGCAAACTAGTCATCTTTTGGCTCGTAATGGGGTTAAGGACGAATTTGGGTGTTTCTAAAACGAAGACCTAAGACCTAAGACCCCGTGGACTAAAACGAAGACCCCATGGACTAAAAATAAGACCCCTTGGACTAGAACGAAGACCCCATTGATTCGACATGTTTACATGTCGAAGGGCAATTCTAAAATGCGCGGGATTAAAACTGTAAACTCGCGCCAAATAACATCATTCATTACGTCGTGTAAAGTGGTCCCTCACAGAGCATTTTTTCAGTGCACTATTTCCGTCTGTTAAATGCAGAATAAATTGTGTCTCTTGCCGGTTCTCTTGTGATTCACTAATGCGGAATTCTCATTTCGAAATTTTCTTCCTGGCACCGATTGTAATTCAGAGACAAAGAGAGGTCACAAAAGGGAGGACTTCCCCCCCCTCCCCCCTCATAAATAATGCGCCCTCCTGAAGAGGAAGGCTTCACGAGCCCAGAGGTCATCAGAGTGGCCACAGGAGGCCTGACAATCAAAAAGTTTTATGACGGGATTTGTCTTGAAGACTTCCACCAAACGTGTTTTGGGCGCGTAGTTTTGGTTTGGGTGAGGAGGGGGTCCATTGCCCTTTTTATGGTTCGACATTATACTGCTTGCAGTCCGCCTTTCCTCTTAAAATCCGTCGAGTTCTTATCTCAGCCAGCGCGATTGCAAACCACGACGTTACGTTACAATAAGGGATTGGTACGTCGAGACGAGAAAAGACGGTCTCTTATTTTTTCCTCTCGGGCTTTAATACGTCCTCGTGCTTGGGTTTCGCGTGCAAGTAACTTTGGACCCTTTGCAATGACAGGAGTCGTAGTAATCGGCTCCTGGCAAAGAAAAATAAGAGACTAGTTCGAAATTCAATGTCGAATGATTTGGGTGTCATCCCGGGTGTAGTGAGTTAAGAAAATATAACCGCGTGCTCCAGTCTTCTAAAATGTCAAAGAATTGTATTAATGCATTTAAAAGACAAAACAGTGACAACACGTACACTGCACGTAGTATAGGGAGTAAATAACAAGGAGACATCTCTCATTGACTTCAAGGAGAGAGGAACCTCGCACTCTATTGACTACTTTTTACCTCATCAATAGAGAAAAAAAAAGCCTTCGATCGGGAACACTCGAGTAAAGGTTAACATTTCCAGTTTCATTTAAGCGAGGTTCATTTGTCTTCATGCCGGGTTTTATTTGTGTTATTTATATCCCTGTCATACGCTGTTACCATATTCTGTCCTCTATTTCTACAAAATGACTCATCTTTACGGCTTAAACAGTTGTTTTTATGATAACTGTGATAAAAAAAACAATAACAATAAAAGAAAAAGAAGGTTAAAGGGACTAAAAGAGAAGGAAAAAAGCGCATGTCTGACGAGACTCGAACCTGGGACCTTTATTCCCACACTACGGTTTGATCTCAAGGCCACAAAGGCTCTCTCACCTTGACTCTGCAAAAAGCTTTAATTTGAATAAAACTTGACGTCATCATCACCGTAAAGTGGTTTAAAACATACAAAATATTTTCGAAGAAACCTGAAGGAAAGGTAATTAGTGATAGACTTGATTATCACAATTATTAAAAATACTCCGGAGGAAATTCCACAACATGCTCAAATCGCCGTAACAAATTACGGGAGCGGGCATTGCCCTCAGCGGTTAGCATCAGTCGTTTAAGTCCATGGGGTCTTCGTTTTAGTCCAAGGGGTCTTCGTTTTAGTCCATGGGGTCTTAGGTCTTCATTTTTGGGTCTTCGTTTTAGAATCACCCGGACGAATTTAACTGGTAGAGTTCTAAAATGTCGCCCTAATGATAAGAATAGCTGGAAACGATGATTGAGAGGCGTGTTAGAGTATTTTGGTCGTAATGGGTTAAGTGAGCAATTTATCCGAAAAGCTCCAAAACGTCGCTCTGATGATATGCACCATAGGACTAGCTGAAAACAATAATTCAAAAATGTGTGACGCTATTTTGCAAATTGCCTATCTTTTGTGTCGTAATGGGATTAAGTGAGAATTTAACCGTAAGAGTTCCAGAATTAGACTAGACTAGATGAGAACAATGATTTAGAGGCATGTGACAGTATTTTGGAAATTGGCCATCTTTTCTGTCGTAATTGCATTAAGCGAGTATTTCAACGTAACACCTGCAAATTTTTGCTCTGATGATAAGCACTATAATACTAGCTAAAAATGACGATTTGGAGGCGTCTGTCAGCATTATGCAAATTAGCCATCTTTTGGGTGGTAATGGGGTGAGCTAAGAATTTCACCGTAAGATCTCTCAAAATGTCGCTCTGATGATAAGCACCATAAGACTACCTGAAAACGATGATTCAGCGGCGTGTGACAGTATTTTTCAAATTGGTCATCTTCTGGGTCGTAATAATGTTAAGTGAACATTTCATGTTCAAAGCCCCGAAATGTCGCGCTTATTATAAGCAAAGTAAGACGAGCTGAAAACGTTGATTTGGAGGCGTGTGAGAGCATTTTGCATACTGGCTATACTTTGGGTCGTAATGGGGTTATATACCGATTTCACAGTAAGAGTTCTAAAATGCTGATCTGATGATAAGCAGAGTAAGAATACCTGGAAACGATGAATTACAGGCGTGTTACAGTATCTTCCAAAAGTGGCCACTATTTTGGTCGTAATGAGGTTAAATAAGGAATTCACCGTAAGAGCTCCAAAACGCCGTTCTGATGATAACACAATAGGACTAGCTGAAAACAATAATTCAGAGGCGTGTGAAAGTATTTGCAAATTGGCCATCTTTTGGAGATGGAGAACGATGATTCAGAGGCATATGAGAGTATGTTTAAATTTGGCCATAGTTTGGCTCGTAATGGGATTGAGTAAGGGTTTCACCGTGAGAGCCCCAAAATGTTGTTCTGATGATAAGCACAATAAGTCTAGCTTAAAACGATGACTCAGGGGGCGTGACAGAATTTGGCAAATTGGTCATCTGTTGAGACGAAATGGTGTGGATTTCACCGTAAGATCTCCAAAATTTCTCTTTCATGATAAACACCATAAGACTAGCTGAACACGGTGATTTGGAGGTGACTGTCAGTATCTTTCAAATAGGCCATCTTCTGCGTCGTAATGGGGTTAAGCGAGAATTTCCCCATAAGAGTCCCAAAATGTCGCTCTAATGATAAGTACCATAAGGCCAGCTGAAAACAATAACTTGGAGGCGTCTCACACTATTTTGAAAATTGACCACCTTTTGGGTCGTAATTGCGTTAAGTGAGTATTTCATAGTAGCAGCTGAAACTTGTCGCTCTGATGACAAGCACCATAAGACCTATCTAAAAATGTTGAAGTAGAGGTGTCTGACACCATTTTGCAAATTAGCCACATTTTTTTTTTATGTTATTTTATTTTATTTTGTAATAACACTGGGCATTCACTTACAATACAGCTACACGGTACTTACTTACAACAAGACTACAAAATTTACTTACGTTACAGCTTTACTACTTACTTGTTTGCTACTTACTTACATTAAAATACCTAAAACTAGTTTACAACAAACAAAAGGACTACTAAAGACAATAAATAAATGAAAAGAAAAGAAAAGAAAGAAAGAAAAAAGGCGACTCCTCTGCCTAAAACGGTTTTTAGCAATAACTACTTGAGATAACATTGACAACAATTGCTAATATTAATAAGAAATCATAAATATGCATAATTAGATGATTAATAAGATGATTAATAAACAGTGCGGAAAGATATGTGAAATAGATACTTTAATTAAGAAATATTGGCGGTATGTCTAGCTCTCAATTGCACTTTGGCCTTGGTTCATTTAAGAAAATGGATACATAGGAAAGCTTTTATTTTACAAAAGTTATGTAATGTTGAGAAGTGGACGTAAAGGATTCCATTTCTTAGAAGTTGCATCAATGTTGTTGGACTCTATGTAAAACTGCGATTTAAGGGACATAAGAAAAGTTGTTAAATTCGGAATTTTCTGGTTGACCCTGCAGCTCCATATATTATATCTTGCCAGGAGAAAGCAGAAATTTAGTTGAGGTGAAAACTTGGAGGTGTCTGGTTTCAGGCCCAGATACACAGCAGTGTATTTTGGATAATCTATCGTTATTAGATTGATCTGCTTTAGTTTTTCTGTCAAATTTTCCCAAAAGGTGGCTACTATTGTACAGTTCCAGAAGAGGTGGATTAGGTTTTCGGGATGGATGGTACAGAAAGAGCAGTTCGGGTCCTGCTTTATATCGATTTTTGTTAGGAAAAGGTTCGTTGGTAAAATTCGGTGAAGGAATCTAAATTGAAAGTTTACAAGTTTTGTGCTTTTTGTGCACCTAGCTGCCAGACAATAGGCGCTGGTCCAGTCAGCCACATTATTATTAGCCACATTTTGGATCGTAATAGGGTAAGAGACGATTTCACTGAAAGACGTCCAAAATGTCTTTCTGATGATAAGTGCCGTAAGACTAGGTGATTCAGAGGTGTGTGACAGTGATTA